AAAGTTTGATAATAAAAATTGAAATAAATTCAGAAAAAAATAGTCCAATTTTTATCTGATTTAAGTTCTGAAGTACATCTGATTGACTGTCCGAATTTAGTATAATTTAGTTCTAATTTATGTCTGATTTAAATTCCAAAGTACATCTGATTGGCAGTTAATCGGATAACAATCAGAATATATTTTTTTTGCAAAAATTGGACATATTTAAGCCGTAATTTGACCTAAAATCAGATATCCAATTTTTAGCCAATTTGCCTTATTTCAACTAGTGACTTGAAAGTGAAAAACAGGTCCGTCCTACTTCTCGTACTTCATTTAATAGTAATACATCAAAAAAATAAATATGGTGGCTGTCACCTATAAACCACACTAATATTAAGTGACTTCAAATTTTTATAAATTGTAAATTGAATAGTAAAAAGAAAAAACTAAACCGATAAAATGATATAGCAACATGTACTGAACATTTCTATCGGATTATTTTATAGAATCTAATAAGAATTTTAATTAATATTATGGGTTAAAGTTGGATAATTTTAATAAGTAGCAATAATAAAAATATAAAATTTCGGACTAGTTTTCATGTAATTTTTATGGATTTTACAAAAATTCCATGGAAATCCACAAGAATTCCATGTAATATGGCAAAAAAAAAATTTTGCCGCTCACGCAGCAATTAATATTTTGACAAAGTACTTTAAAACATAAGTTACACAATATAAATAAATAAATTTCAAAATTTCGGACTATTGTTGTTTATAGCTGACAGCTACCATAGCTACATTATTTTCAATAGAGTTTTTTATTTTTTATTTTTATGAAACGTTTATTAATGTTTCATTATTTTTTTTTTAGACGGATTTTAGATTCTGGTTCACCAGGTCTGAACATGTTGGATTTAGGTACTTTGATTTTGGTAAGTATTAAAATTTTTTTGATTTATTTCTTTCAACGAAATATCTTACTAACGTTTGATTTTTATCTTTTTTTTTCTAGATGACCAAATGACCAGGTCTTTGAAAACGTAGAATTTTGGTAAGAGGAATCTGAAGTATTTTTTTTGACTAGTTTTATTTATTTAATTTCATTCTCTTTTTTATTAGACAACCTGGTCTCTGGATGCATGAAAATTCGTTAAATCTTTTAATTTTAAATGGCAGGGAGAGTCTTTGGAAGTGTTAAAAAATTTAATTAGTTGTAATATAAAAATATATCATCATATGTAATATAACAGAACAATATGTATAAATATAATAATAAAATTGAATAGTAAAATAATAATAAATATCAATATTAAAATAGCGTAATATACTATCATTTATTATATAATTAATTTAAATATTTTAATTATACTAATTTCTAATGCAAAATTAATACATAATATTATTATTCAATTAGCAATAAAAAATAATGCTTATCGAATACAAGCTGCGTTGAAACTTGTTTAATAAGTGCTTAAATTAAATATTTTTAAAGCATTTAATAAATGGTTGGTAAATGCTTAATTTAACTTCGTGATTAAGGTTGCTTGTCTAAACTCTTCGAAATCCTACGATTAGTTTCGTCAAAATTTTACTATAGATTTATTATAGTTTTGGCAGAGTTTCGGCAGTTTCGGCATTTATAATAAGTTTTGGCAGTTTCGCCATTCTCCAAAGTTTCGCCAGTTTTTTAATATAACTTTAATATAGTTTTGGCAGAATTTCGCTTTTCGGCGAAACGCCATCTTGCCTAAACCCCTAGGTTTCGGCAAGCAACCTTATTCGTGATAGGATTGTTCAAAATGAGGTGGGTGTTCCTGTTGGGATTGCATAACACTAAAAAGTTCTCCTAGTGGCTGGACTGCATAACACTAAAAGTTCTCAAAAGTCTTTTTGAAATAGGTTTGTTATCCATAATATGTAGTCAAATAGGAAAAATTGAATTTTGTGTATTTTTGATGGTGCTAACTTTAGGATGCTTTGACTTAACCATAGCGAGGTGCTTTACTGGATATGTATAGTATAGTTGACTTGAATTTAAGAAAAAAGTAAGGTAAAAACTATTAGTAAAGGACCAATTTTTTACAGTGACCTTTATTATAAGTAAGCAGATTCCTATTTTACTGAATTATCTTAAAAGAACTATTTTTTATATAACAATATCACGATGTTAGTTAAAGTAATTTATTAATATTTATTATTAGCACTTATTAAATATAAGATATGTTGGTAAAATGCATTTAAGTATTTACTTAAAATACTAATAAAATGCTTAAAAAATTAAATGGTTAATAATAAATATTAAAATTTAGTACTTATTTAATATATTAAGCATTTATTGCTTAATAAATATAAAATTTTAATGCTTATTAAATATTACTATTCAATAAACATCATCACGATGTTGGACCAACTGAAACCTTATGTTTACTAAATAGCAATATTTAATAAGCATTAAAATTTTATATTTATTAAGCATTTTATTAGTATTTTAAGTAAATACTCAAATGCATTTTACCAATATATCTTATATTCTATAAGTACTAATAATAAATATTAATAAATTACTTTAACCAACATCGTGATGATAAGGTTTCAGTTGGTCCAACATCATGATGAATTAGTATAAGTTAATTTTTTACCAAAAGATTAAATAAGTTTTCATTTAACAATCAGTATCAATTGATTTGTGATTAATTTACCGATTTTTGCTATTAGTCCAAAATGTGACAAATTATATAACCAATCAGTAAAAATTATACTGAAAGTTTTTAACAGTTGAAAGTTTTAATTTTGACCAGTATGAAATATGTGAAAAAATATATCAAGTTTAGAGATTCCAGCTGCTGCAGTTTTATTAGCTAAATTTTTATATTTCTATATTCTTTTTGAATTTCCAATATAAATTAATAGGCAATTATTTGTAAATGCTGATAGGTCTTTTGCATTTTCAATCATAACATCAAAAGTAGTTTGTGAAATTTGGTTCAAAATCATTTTCAAGTTTGTTATTATACCAATTATCATCAGAATCATGATAATCTGACAATTCATCATCATTATCACTGCTTATAATTTTTAACCAAGCTTTGTTAGTTTTTTTTGCTTTTAAAGCTTTGCTTTTTTAATCAGCTGTAAGTTAAACCTTTCGTTTCTTTTGTGGCATTTTTAATTTTAAAAAAAATGTTAATAATTTGCAAATGCCAATGATTGTGGATTGTTACAGATAAATAAAATTAATAAAAATTCTCATGCTAAATAAAAATGTGATTGATCTAAATTCTTAATTCTAGCCAGTTATAAATTTTGACCTGCATTATATTAGTGCTGAACCGGCCAAATTTATACCAAACTTAATAAAGTTACTAAAATTTAAACTTATATAACTTATACTACAGTAATCTGATTTGAAAAAACTCTCTGTTATTTGAAAGAGTATTGTTCAAACTACAATATTACAGAATATTTTTTAAATATTATATTAATTAAATTTTTTTTTCTATTCATTTGAATCACATGATAAAAAGTGGTGGCTTATTACTTTTTATACCAAATTAAATAGTGAAATGCTTATTTAAAAAGCAATGAAAAAAAAGTAATTTCAAATATTAATTTTATTATCCAAAATAGCTTTTATTACAATTAAATTTATATATAAAAGTATTAACTTTTTCTTGAAATAAATTTTTAGGAATTTTCTGATTGAATTGGAATTTTTTTGCATTTCTGTAAGCAATAATATATATCTCTCTTATAAAAAATGCCAAAATTCTAAATATTTTTATTTTAAATGTCAATACTAAAGCTATATCTTAAAAAATACTGCCAAATCAAAATAATGGTTATTTTCATATTATTTTAATTCTCAATAAGAAAACTTTAAAATATGTGTATTTTTGACTTACCAAATAATCTTTTAGGCTATTGATAAGCTAATTATTATAATAGAAATGTAAAATAACAACTTTCATAATATCTAAGATAGTATGAAAATTTGTCTTTCAATAGTGAGTTTTTCATAATAATTTTAAAGCCCAAATCTCAAATCATAATGAGAACTTTGAATTGTTTTTGAAGCAGTATATTAAGAAGATGGTAATACAAAAAAAAGAAAAAAATTTACAAGCCACTTCTCAATTTATTTAGAAAAAAGTAAAATAATTTTGAAAAAAGTATAACTATTAATAGCAAGGTTATTGGTGATAAAGCACGCAAATCAAATTGAAGCATGTGTTGATGCAAATAGAGGTCAAACCAAATATTTATCAAATAATAAAATATATGTATTTTTGACCCTTCTTCTTGAAAATAAAAAAAGATTTCATAGCTTCATTATAAAATTTATGTACTATATTAAAAAAACTGACCGCCATTACTTTTGCCAGGGTCTGTAAGTAGCAAGTTTTATATAACTGATTGTAAGTGATACGAAGTAAATAAACAGTTTAAAATACCAGTCCATATGGCCCTTAGAGAAGATCTGTAGAAAATTTTGATACCTTCTATTCAGTGTTGTACATGGGACATGTCCCGCCAAAATTTTAATGTCCCGGACATTGTCCCGTCCATGTCCCGTCCACATCCCGTCCAAAAATTGTCCAAGTTTACAATTTGTCTTATCAAGACGGCTATAATTTATAATTAAGATCACGTGATTTTAATGTCCCAATGTCCCGGACATTGCTAAAATCTTTGGACGTGTCCTGGACTGTCCCGTCCCGTCCTGTCCATGGACATGTCCCGTCCCTATGACAACACTGCTTCTATTCACTCAGAAGGTGGTGGTGGCCTCATATCAGGAGAACAGCACTTTTATAGAATCCGTGGATTGCCTGTACTTTTGCTAAGAAGTCCTTCCATTCCATTTCTAGATTCTTTTTATTTAGGCCATACACTTTCCAAAAAACGTACTTAGTCCAGGTATCCGAATTTTTAGCAATGATATCAAATGCAAGTAAATGCTTATGCTCTTTAAGAGACAGATAATTGCAAGTGAATTAGCTATAATTCTTATTATTGCCATCAACACTATACAGTCTATGCTGATTCTGCATTAGAAATGATGGATTTCTTTGATAATGCGGAAGAAAATCGCCAAATTTCCCTTTACGATGGTTAGTACTCCTTTCCTAATTTATTTTATACAATAATATTTCGCTTATAACGTGGCTTTGTTATCAAAAATACTATTACTTGTAATATCCGTTTGTGTTTGGATAAATTATTTCCGCATGATAATAAATGTATATTATTATTTCGATAAAGATGATTATAATACAAATAATACTCGTTCATATTATTTATTATCGACAACATTTTATTTCAGTTTATTACTTTTGGGAACTTTTTTCGATTAAGAGAAAAATAATTATAAATATCGTACAACATTAATAAGAAGTAGTTCTTGGATAAGGGAAACTTTGGCTCCCTGCTTTTTTCGTCTATGTTCTTTAAGAAATCACACACCATTTTTCTTGCAATTCTTTAACACGTTCTTCCCATGTAAGTGCTTCTTTAACCTTCTCTTCAATCTTGGCCTCTAATTCAGCTATTCTCTCCTCGGCTTTTTTTTTCTCCTCTTCAATAGCATTTTTTAAATTATCCAATTCTTTTTTTAGTTGTTCTTTTTCAGTCATGTAACTACTAACTCTTTTATTTAGATTATCCAAACTAGGTGGTCGATAGTTACCACAGTTTTTTATTAAGTGCTTTATTAATACATCTCTTGATTCTTCTCTTTTCTCCCGATTTGTTTCTATCTCTTTTAACTTCCTGTTCTTTTGCTTTTCACTAATATTTTTTCCAACTTCTATATTTGTCGGAGGATTATCAACATAAATTAGCTTATTGCATGTTCTGACTAACTCTGCTAACTTAGGACTCTCCTGATTCAACTTTTCTCGATCTTCTTTACACTTCTCTTCGCTATCAAAATTAGGAAAATTTGTTCGCACAATAGTAGTGTAACAAGTAATACTTTCATCGAAAATAATCTCCCTCAATATGTTATAGGCTTCCAACTCCTCTTCGGTAAATTTTCTTCCTAACACAAAAAAAATTTGATTTAAACCTTTTCCTACTTCATGACATGCTTCTGCTATTCGGTTTAATACTTCTCGCTGAGCAAGTTGAGTATCACCAATACCAATAGTATCAACTACTCTATATTGTACCTTTTCTCCATTTATTTCTATTTCAAAATCTTCTTTTTGTAACTCTTTTGTTGTGCTTATGGTTCCTGAACCTTCATTAAATTTTTCACTATTTGTTAACACGTTTTCTAAGGTTGATTTTCCGTTTCCAGTACGGCCTATTATTAATATATTTCTTGTTTCTGTCATATTTTAGCCTGTTTTTTACTGTATTTTGTAAGTTATTATTTGTTTGTTTAAGGTACAATTCGTAATTTACCAGGGGAGTCTTGGAATGTTTTGTTCGTTAAATTATCTACAAGTCTTATATACTATTTAATAATATGACTGTCTAATTTGTGAAATAAATCGTTCCTTCGTAACTGTCACTCAACCTCGCTCAGTTGTCAACAGTAAGTTAATTAAAGGAAGTCTTAGAAACGTAGTTTCCAATACTAAAATTACAAATAAAAATAATTAATCTAGCAAAGAAGGTATTGCAATAGACCGGGAATGTTCTGAAATAACGATTTCTCCCTCAAAAAATGTTTTTGCTATATCTAGCTGGATAGTGGTTGGTTTTTAGTATCATGCAAGTTTGCATTCATTGCGTAGAATTCCGGTGTACTATAACATGCTGTACAAAATTATTTTTTCGGCATTGTGATTTGTTAAACTGACCCTTGAAATCTTACATGACAAAACATGGTATATTTCATAACCTAAAGTTTCGGCCAGAGTTTCGGATTTCGGTACTAGTTTCGGACTAGAGTTTCGGACTTTCGGATTCGGCCATACCCTTGAGAGGTTTCGGCTACAAGTATAGGCATTACTATCTAAATCCATCTTTTACAAATGTTTAGGCGGTTTATAACGATTTATATCATTTTTAGCGATTCTTTATCAACTTATACTAATGAATATCATATCACGATTCAGATTTATTGGGCGAGAACATTGTATGGGAAAAAGTCTGTCCCAAGCGATTTGTAGCGATTTTGTTGATTTGTACGATTTATAGCGTTTTTACAAAGATTATACAAAGAATATATGAATATATGCAATTCATTGTTGGCTAGAGTTAGATCATACGCAGTTGGGCAAAAAAAACGTCATACATGAGTTAAAAAATAAAAGTCGATGTGGGCAAACAAACTATTTGAAAAATTTATTCAGGGTGTTCTGATGTCACGTAGTAGACCTACGTACGAAAATTTCGAAGTTAAAATCCGAAAAAATTAAGAAATTATAGTGGACATGCTAAAATATCCAACAAATATGTATTCACTCTTCTAGAAGATATACTTTATTTTTTGCCGATAATACTTTCTTTTCAACTGCGAAATCTAGCAATCGTGCAAATTCATGGTCTTGTTTAAGCTGAAGTTCACAAATTTGCTTTTTTGAATAATCCAAAAGTTGTTCAGTAGTCATATAACTCTAAGACAATAGATTGTTAATATGGCGAAGTAACTTAGGAAACAGCAAACAAAATAATATAAATAAAATAGTACATCATAAATTTTTTGAATAGCCCTTTCAGTAGCTTGCTTCATTGAATCGGATAATTTGTCATTACTGAGTTGTTGTAAAAGTGGGAGGGCGGTCTGAAAGGTGGTGCCATTCTGTTGGATGATTAAATTCATTGTTTCCATATAGGAGAGCAGAAGTTCTTTCCCAGCTTGCAATTTTGTTTGTTTCATTTGTGCCATCAATTCAGCAATCTTGTGTTGATGTTCCATATCGGCTTTCCTAATTTGTAATTCATAATTAATCTTCAATTCCTGACCACGGAGTTCAGTATCCCGCTTACGAGCTTCATATTCGAGCTCCATTTTACGTTTTGCCTCTTCAAAAGCCTTACTTGCTCCATTGCCCATCTTGAAATATGTGTTTGAAGATAAGTGCGTCCAACTTTGTAGTATTTATAAAAGAGTAACAACAGCGAAGAACAATAGAGGTGAACAACAATAGGTAATCCCCATTAGGTATAATAAGTGAGACCGAAATGGAAAATGGTCACACGATCAGAGTTACTGTTACATATATTGCATTTTTTTACGTATACTCGCAATAGGTCATGTGAAAACGTGATAATATTCACGGAATCCCGTGATAGATGTTACATTCAAGTTGGGGATGATGCTTTGGATCTGGGTACTAGATAGGTTTGAGATAGCATCTCCTTGCTTTCTGAGTTATCTTACGCAAATTTGTTTCTGTAATGCCTAGATGATGTTGAGCAACTTCACAGTATACTCTACTCCTAGCTGTTGGGTCAGTAACCGATGAATTTTGAGATCTAATATCTCAAAACCCATTTTCGAATCCTTCAGCATATTTATACCAACATAAAAAAATTTCGTCTTGATTTGCCTTTGCAACACGTAATCCTGCACGAGTTGCCTTTTGATATAATCGGGCTAAGCTTTGTGATATAGATCCATCGGCGTCCTCCTCAGCATAATCAACATTTTCAGCTTTCTCTCCCATGGCAGGCGTAAATAGCTCTTGCAATAGGGCCTGGAATTTTTCCTGTTCACGAGTGATCCCCCGTCTTAAAGACTGCCTTGATGAATTTCTTCTCGATTGGGATTCACTTTTTTGCACGTTGGTATCATTCCCGCTATTCTCATTAAATCGATTCTCCGAGTTTGGTGGCGCGGATTTCATCACTTTCCGGAGTTCTGGAGATAGATAAAAGATGAGAATGGGAACTGTTATAGCGAGAATGGCCGGAGGCGCTGTGCATGGATTTGCACTGCTTACCTATTATCAACAGAATTAGACCGGTTATCATCGTCATCCTCATCCTCAATCACGATTGGGCTTGTCGCCTGATCCTGCATAATGGCTTGACTCTCTTGTCTAGCACGAGAGCCACCTCCCATAATTCCTAGCGAAATCATGAGCTCCTCATCGCCCTGTCCAGTGTCAGTTTATTTTTTCTGAATTTGATATTCTCCAGAGGCGAGCGCTGCTTCTTCTCTAATCAATTCAATAGTGATGGGACACATCACACATGGGACGCGAAGGACAGGAGGGGTACTTCATTTCGCTCGTATAATATGCTTCTCAAGGCATTGACGGTGGAAAATGTGTTCAAGTGCCCGCCGCTTCTGGTAAGTGTCTCCAACGTTTTACCTCTCGAACAAGAAATTTGGTGATAATAACTAACTGCAAACGGAATATGGCCTTAATTATGAAGGTGTTGATCTTAATCTTGAAACTTTATGTCAAAGAGAATCAACTATCACAATCCAACACAACGAACGATTGAAATCGAAATGTTAGGATTGCTCTCTGGCAAATACTGCAAGGATTGAGTTTCGGAATTCTGCTGGGAAAAGTTGAAATGTCTTGATTTTGAAGATAGTGTAATGCAAGTGCTTTGAGTTGGGAAGGCTCTGTAGTATCTGTTTGAATTTCAGAAGTACTGGCCGAAGGTTCACTGGCTATAGTGGTGGACGAAGGTTCGCTGGCCATAGTGATGAATTATAGAGAGAAAATAAAATAAATGTTCTTATGCGTGTCTTTCACATCTATCTCCTACTTATACACTTTTCCCCCTTAATCTGATTGCTCTTTGATCTGCGAATAGGTGCACCTATTACGCTGGGTCCACAAAGATAGTTGCAAAACACAGAAAATTTCAGATCTTCGCTGAGAATCCAACTTGCCCTGCATTAGATTGTGTATGATCAAACTATCAACATAAATAATCCTTATCAATTCGCTCATTACTACTCCACTATCTATATGCGAAGAGTTAATCAAAGCAAGCTTTTTTATTTGCAATACATTGAGACTTTGCTCTGCCGAAAAGGCGCTGGTCCCTTAGGACCCGCTTCACTTGATACATGATAGCCTATCCTATTTATTCACTGCGTCTATTCTACCTACCACCCGATACCCGTTATTATTCATCGTTATCACCCGAATCTCCGTTTCATTTGTTGTTTGCTGGCTCTTGAAATGGAAACTATGTATTAGTTGCAGGCTCTGAAGACGCCTCCTTGCGAATGCTCAGCCGTAGCGTAGCCGAAAGTTAATTGTGTAGTATCTCGTCCGGTGCTTTACTAAGTTTCGTCTTCAATATTTTATATAGAAGCGAAGTGAAAAAAAATGTGAACGGTAAGAATTTTACCGGCGCATTTCAGGTGACTGTCCACATAATTTGATCATATCATCCTATTTACCGTAGTAACACCATAATTAAAAATTTCACCCCACGTGACCTGTGACATTTAAGGTTGTGAAAAAAAAATAATTTTGGGAGGCAAAAAAACTAAGTCCCTCAGATAAATATAAACAGTGAAAACGCGGTGGGGTGTGATGCTGGTGAATATTATTAGGTCACGTGGGGTGAAAAATTTAGTGGTGTTACTGGGGAAGATATATTAAGTATTTCCTAAGCAATATACTGGAGAGATGATTGGGTTCGTCATTGGTGAGTTATCTTTGTAATAACCTTCATTATACATGTCATCATCATAATAATCTTCTCCATTATACCTCTTTGATTTGGGATTTACCTAGAGAATTAGTGACATGGTTAGTTATATTTTAGATCAGAATTTTTATTTTTTGACATTCAAAAATTTAAAATGAAATAACTCATTATGTAGTGATCATAAAAAAATAAAAAAGGCTTATTAGATTTGTCTCATTAAAACCTATTGAATAATACTAAGATTAATTCTCTAGGATCAATAGATATGTTTCTAGCGCTAATTTCTTAAAAAAATATTTAGTGTAAGATATCTATAATAGTATATCAAGGATAGAGACTAGGGTTCCAATTGGTTTCGGTAATTACTGAACTAAACTGATCAGTTTCAGTATCAAAACAGTTTTGGTATTCTGATTTACCAAATTGAACCTTTCAGTAAATTTACCGATTGGTTTTGGTAACTTCAGTTTCAGTATCAGTTTTGCAATTTACTGAACCGATTTACCAAAATAATATTTTCAGTATCAGTTTCGATAAATTTTACCGATCATTTTAGTAAATTTACTGAACTGATTTGCTGAATGTTTCGTGATATTTTTTTTGATAAAAAATATCGTGAAATGTTTTTTTAGTTAATTTATTTAAAAAAAATGTTTTGCAACATTTTTTTTTGATAATTTAATAAAAACATTGCAAAACATTTTTATTAATTAATTTATTTTAAAAAAAAACGGTTTGCAACATTTTTTTTTTTTTTTTTTTTTTTTTTGATAATTTAATAAAAACATTGCAAAAAGTTTTTATTGGTTAATTTATTTAATAAAAATATTTCACAACGTTTTTTTCAATAACTTAATAGAAAACGTTGTGAAACATTTTTATTAGTTAATTAATTTAAAAAAAAACGTTTCGTAACATTTTTTTTAATAATTTAATAAAAACATTGCAAAACGTTTTTATTAATTAATTTATTTTAAAAAAAAACATTTCACAACATTTTTTTTTGATAATTTAATAAAAACGTTGCGAAATGTTGTTATTAGTTAATTTATTTAAAAAAAAATGTTTTACAGGACCCCGGATATCTCCAAAACAGGTCATAAGTCACACTTTCGGCAGATTGGCCCATTTTTCAGGGCTCAAAAAATCGTTTTTTGTAAATATCTCGGCATCCAGTGGTCCAATTTTGATGAACTTTTTTTTAAATTGTAGAGCTAAATGAGGGCTACAAAATAAAAAAAGTTCATTAAAATTGAATTACTGGATGCTGAGATATTTACAAAAAACGATTTTTTGAGTTTCAGCAAAAAGGGGTGTTTTTGGCCAAAAGTCCATTATGACCTTTATATTAGATATCCGGGGTCTTTGTTTCACAACATTTTTTTCAATAACTTAATAAAAAACGTTGCAAAACATTTTTTATTAGTTAATTAATTAAAAAAAATGTTTCGCAACATTTTTTTTTGATAATTTAATAAAAACGTTGCAAAACATTTTTATTAGTTAATTTATTTAAAAAAAACGTTTCGCAACATTTTTTTTCAATAACTTAATAGAAAATGTTGCAAAATGTTTTTTATTAGTTAATTAATTTAAAAAAAAACGTTTTACAACATTTTTTTTAATAACTTAATAGAAAACATTGCGAAACATTTTTAATTAGTTAATTTAATTAAAAAAAAAACGGGTTGCAACATTTTTTTTAATAATTTAATAAAAATGTTGCGAAACATTTTTATTAGTTAATTTAATTAAAAAAAAATGTTTTCGCACATTTTTTTAATAAAAACATTACAAAAATGTTAAAAACTGAACTAATAATGAATTGGTAAATTGGTTAAGTTTTTGGTATTTATCAGTCAGTTTCGGTATTGATGATTACTAAAATCAATCAGTTTTAGTAATTAACAATACCAATACCAATCAATTCAGTTCAATTTCAGTTTTGGCAAAAACTGTACTAAACTGAACTGATCAGAGCCCTAATAGAGACATAATTATACCACCATTTGAGGCATCTTGATAAGACGATTCTAATAAGCTATAGTTGATCTCTATATAATTATTAATTGTCAGTTATTTTGATTTTTGCATTTTTTTAAAAATCAGATAGAATTAAACTGAATCAGACAATTCTGGCTCAGTTTTCATTCAATTTCAGTTCCTATTTGAACTGGAAAAAAACTGCACTGAACTGACCTATATGCATTCAGAGTTTTAGACATACCATATATCACGGGCCATAGTACTCCCCTATGCATAGTACTCCTCTTGAAAAATTTTATAGAATTGTATAGTACCCAGGGGGATATTTTACAATTATCTCGTGATCCAGTGATCAGATTTGAGCCATTTTTTTTGTTTGATAGCTCTCATTGAGCTCTTCAAAATAAAAAAAAGTTCATTCAAATTGGACTGGTAGAACGTGAGATATTCGCAAAAAATGGAATTTTTAGGCTTTGTTTAGTACCTAGGGTATAGGGTCAAACTCCCGATTTTTGCAAGATACCTGAGATACTATGGCCTGCTATATATGGTAACTCTGTCAACTAATATTAAAGCTAGAAATATAATTTTACTATTATTAGAATTCTCTTATTAAAACAAATCCAATGATATAAATTTTATTAAAATTGAATTACTGATTGTGTTAAAAATAAGGTATGTAAAATAACAAAATTTTGAAAATACCTCCTTTACTAAAAATGGCCAATTTTTTGAAATATTTTTAAAATATATCAAGATATATTTGAGGTATTTTTGAGATTAAAATATTAAAATAATATCAAAATTAATTATATTATAATAATAAAATAATAACAAAAACATTAAAAAATTATTGTGATATTATTTTGAGTTATTTTTATAGATAATGGTGTAGTTAGCCAAAAAATTCAGCTGAAGGCGCAGTAAATTTTTGGCTAACAATATCCAGCCGAAAAAAATTCATGTTGATCTAGAATATTTTATTGAATATTTTATTGATTCAACATCTACTATTTTCGGCTGAATATTTTCGTCTAACTACACTTTTTTTAAATAATAGTGTAGTTAGCTGAAATATTTAACCAGGAGTGCAAGAAACGCCAATATATAATATTCCAGGAGACCAAATCGAACTAACAAGATAAGGAGACAACATCAATTTTATATATATTTAATATCACAGGTCGAAAAGTGAAAAATCACCAATCAGGCAGTTTGCTAACTTTTGATTCAGTGATTAGAAAAAGATGAAATATAGCTCATTGGAATCGTCTCAACATGACGAATCTAATGGTAGTAAAATCGCATTTCTAGGATTAATACTTGATGAGAAATTAAGTAAAATATAAAACCAAAAAAGTATCATTTATATTTTATTTATTTTTTATTAACTATTAATCCTAGAGATGCGATTTTACTACCATTAAATTCGTCTTGTTGAGACGATCCCAATGAGCTATATTTCATTCTTTTCTGATCACTGGATCAAAGTTAGCAAACAGCCTGATTGGTAACGGTATTTGGCAAAAATGCCAATCAGTCACCCAATCGGTCACCAATCATCAGATACGTGATTGGTGACCGATTGGTGACTGATTGATGCCTGATTTTTCACTTTTTGACCTGTGTATATTTAACCTATTTAATTTATAAAATATATAAAATTTTATAATCATTTATACTTTATTAAGCTATAATAAATGTTCAAACTAAATTTATTTTAATTACATTATTATTCAATTTAATTATGCCACAAATGCCTTACTTTCAGTTTGTTTCTCAATCCATAATTTAATAGCATCTCTCGTCAATGCATTAGCAGGTAATTCAGATCTTTTAACAATTTTAGAAACAGCTAATTGTCCAAATCCAATTTGTGATTTAGCTAATTCACAAATTTCATCAGTAGCAATTTGTTGTGTAATACCTTTAAAAGAATTTTTACGCTTTTGAAATGCTTTAACAAATCCATTTGCTATTATTTGATCCTCTAGCGATACTTTTGTTTCTTTCCATTGTTCAATGGGATCATCATCTTTAATTTCATTTAACCTTTATTTTTTATTTGGCTGAGAGCTTTTTACATATTTTCGTGATCTTTATATTTAATATTATTATATTAGTAATCTAAATTAAATATAGCAAATAAAGAAATATCAATTTTACCTATTATTTATTAATTTATCAGCAACTAATAGTTGATTGGCTTTAAGTGCATTAGTTCTTTCATATAGATATTTATCAAGATCCAGGTTACGTTTCTTTATATCATAATGCTTTATAATTTTATTCTCAACTTCAATTGTTGCTGTAGTTTTCCTTGATCTTTCTCTTATTTGAGTCACAACATTACTCCATAAAACTAAAGTCTTCCACCATGTATATTTAAATATTGTTGTAGATTTATATTAAAAAAAGGATTATGAATATCATTAATATTAGTTGTTACTAGAGCTCCGCAACCTGACCTGACACATCGGGTGACCCGACGGGTTGACCCAAAATATTCAGGTCAGGTCATCAATTTCATGACCTGACACGGGTCGGGTCAGTGCTAGTCGGTACCTGACAGCATAGCGGACATGCTCATATCACCTTGCCTATCATTTGCTGATCACTAATTCCAGATTTTAAAAACTTATTGCAAAATCACAAATATTTTTCAAATAATGTGGCAAAAAAATAATGGAATCTAAATAAAAACACTAAATTATTATATGATTTTAATTATATAATTATTAGCACAATTTTTAATAATATTATAAATATATTATTTGTTTATGATAATTCACTAATTATTGCCGATCATCAGACAAAAATTAAAGTGCGAAGATGAATATGCGAGTGCGAAACTTAAGAATTTGCACAAATATTCTTTATATTATGTAGAATCTATAAAAAAAATAATGCAGTGATCTGATTCATAATGCAGGTTTTTTATTAGTAACATAATTAGTGAAGATTTTCGTAAAATGAATAAATATATGCCAAATAATAATAAAAGCTAAAAAGTTTCTAATGAAATTTAATACA